TTTCCCTACATAGTTTTATTTGAAGCTTTGGCGTTTCTGTTATTTCATTTTAAATAAGTGAACCTCGACAATGATGACATAACAGGTGAAAGGACACTGACTATCTTAAGTTCCTTAGGTTGGTCATGAGTTTGAAAAGCTCAATTAATAAACTGTTTTGTCTTGAAAAAGAGCTGATTTTACGCACTGGTTCCCTAACTTTATTTTATGTTGGACCAGTACTAAACACATGTAGGTTTTGTTTTTTTATTTAATTGGTCTTCTTTCTCTACTGGCCTTTCATCTTTTCCATGTTTTGTATGTGTGGGGTATTTTTTGAAACTATGATGTAATTGTCAACTGAGTAACTACCTGTGCGTAATTATGTGAGGTGAATCATGACACAAGCCAAAAAGAGCTGACTGAATTTAGACACAGTTGTGCGCTGCATTAGCACGCGGTTACTGGAAGGGTGTCATTGATTTTTGTCTACTTAGGAAAGATCATTGCATTGCTAACAAAGAAACTTGAAATGAAATGATAATACTATCGTCAAACGTAGCTGGATGGAGTTAAAGTTCGTGGGGGTCCCTGTCCTTGGTGCTGAACGGGAATGCTCCGATTGCCTGGTATGTGTTCATTAATTGTAAACAATATAGTAAACGACTCAATGACTTTATCTGTGTTTAGTTAATCTTTTGATATGTTCCCATTGTTGGGTAGAATCTTATCGACTATTTTGGTAAGCTTTATCTTTATGGAAATTAGGTTGATTAAGTGAGCAGCCGTTACATCTACTGTAATTCAACTATATGGCCACTGTTTTGACATAAAACAAACGATCTACTATTCAGCTGAAGTGCTCCTGGCTTTTGATTTTCTGCAGTTAGAATCAAGATCGCATGGTGTCACTGTAATATTAAAACGAAGCATTACAAGAGCTTGCCACCACGTCATTTTGGTTCCACCTCTTCGGAGAGTCCTCAACTCGTTATTGTCGCAGCCGTTTCTAAGCTTACTGCTGCCTTTGGAAATAGTATATTTGCCCTCATGCCTGTCGTTGTAAGAAGAGGATATATATTTTGACTAATCGGAAGTGTTGGATTCTGTCATGATAACGCAGTTATTCTTTTTGTGACGGATTACTGATAATATTGGGTCTAAAAATGGAACAAAGAAAAGACGACAGACGAGGGGCGAGAAGATATTTGGTCGGCTGTGTGGTTGCTGTGCTGTTGTGGAGCGTGGCCTCGGCACAAATACGATATTCAGTCTCCGAGGAAGTTAACGAAGGAACTGTGGTTGGAAATATAGCAAAAGATCTGGGATTAGATAAAAGCACACTGAAAGAAAGAAAGTATCGGATTGTTTCTAGTAATGCGGATCCGCTTTTCCACGTTAATCAAAACGATGGTATCCTGTATGTGAGCCGGAAGATTGACAGAGAAGAGGTGTGCGCGCAGAGCAGTACGTGTTTAATAAATCTAAAAACAGTGCTTGAAACGCCACTGGAGGTTCACTACGTAGCAGTGGAAGTACTGGACATAAACGATCATTCTCCCAGTTTCCCAGATAAAGAGAAACCGTTGGAGGTTTCAGAGTCTGTTTTACCCGGAGTGCGTATTCCGCTACAACCCGCTCGAGATCCAGATGGCGGTCCTTTTTCTGTTCAGCACTATAAACTCAGCCACAACGATCACTTCCGTTTGGAAGTTAAGGATAAAGGAGAAGATGGTAAAATACCAATATTGGTTGTTCAAAAATCTTTGGATAGGGAGACTGCAGGAAGCCACTCATTAGTGCTGACTGCGCTGGATGGAGGTAAACCTCCGAAATCTGGCGACATGAATATTCTAGTAAATGTTTTGGATATTAATGATAACACACCTGATTTCTGTCAAGATGTTTATTCTGTGATGCTCAATGAAAATGCTCCAGTAGGTACAACAGTCGTACAAGTGAATGCAACTGACTTAGATGACGGCACAAACGGAGAAGTAGTTTACTCATTTAGCAGTATTGTGAATCGTAAATTATTAAACCTTTTTGATATTAATCCATCGACAGGTGAAATAACTGTGAAAGGTTTAATAGACTATGAGGAGAAGGACAAATATGAAATTGAAATTCAAGCATCAGATAAAGGTTTCGTTCCTCTAACAACAGAAAAAAGCGTCATTATCAAGATAGTTGACGTTAATGATAATGCCCCTGAGATTGAGGTTACCTCATTTTCAAGTTCAATCCCTGAAGATTCCAGACCTGGAACTACAGTTGCCCTAATCAGTGTGAATGACTTGGACTCTGGACTCAATGGAAAAGTTATTTGTGCTGTAAATGAGGATGTTCCGTTCACCTTGTCACCATCTTTACAAGACAAAATGTATTCATTAGTAACCAAATATCCTCTGGACAGAGAGAAACAGTCACAATATGCACTAACAATTACTGCAAAAGACGCTGGTCAACCACCATTATCATCTGAAAAGACAATACGCGTTGTGGTGTCAGATGTTAATGACAACAGTCCAGTGTTTTTATTGAGTCCATATACTTTCTATGTTACCGAGGGTAACCATCCAGGATCTTCTCTTTTTTCTGTTAACGCTTTTGATCATGATGAAAACGACAATGCTCTTATATCCTATCATATTATCAGAGATGGAAGGGAAGAAAATAAATTGGCTTCATTTCTAAACATTAATTCTGAAAATGGAGATATTTTGGCGCTAAAAAGTTTTGACTTTGAAACTCTGAAAACGTTCCAGTTCCATGTTGTTGCCACAGATTCTGGAACTCCGTCACTAAGCAGCAACGTCACAGTGAACGTGTTCATTCTGGATCAGAACGACAACGCTCCAGTCATCCTGTATCCAGTCAGCTCCAACGGTTCTGCTGAAGGTGTGGAGGAGACTCCCCGCAATGTGAACGCAGGACACTTGGTGACTAAAGTCAGAGCCTATGACGCTGATATAGGATACAACGGCTGGTTACTGTTTTCACTGCAGGAAGTTCCTGACCACAGTCTCTTTGCTTTGGACCGCTATACAGGACAGATCAGAACACTTCGCTCATTCACAGAGACAGACGAGGCCGAGCATAAACTGGTCATACTGGTGAAAGACAATGGGAACATTTCACTCTCAGCAACAGCTACTGTGATTGTCAAACTTGTGGAGCCCAAAGAGGCTTTTGCTGCTTCTGATGTTAAAAGTTCAACAAAGGATGAGGAGGGGAATGATGTGACTTTTTATCTGATGATAACTTTGGGCTCAGTTTCAGTACTTTTTCTCATCAGTATCATGGTGCTGATTGCAATGCAGTGCTCTAAATCTACAGACTATACTTCTAAATATCTACAAGAGCCTAATTATGACGGGACACTGTGTCACAGCATCCAGTACAGATCTGGAGACAAACGGTACATGTTAGTTGGACCCAGGATGAGTATAGGATCTACTATAGTCCCTGGCAGCCATGCGAATACACTAGTGCTCCCTGACAGGAGGAGGGCATCTGGAGAGGTAAGGCACATTTAAACATGCGTGTTGTGTGTTGTTTAGTTTAGTTTTTTCCCCAAAATTGCTTGGAGGTATTACTATTTGAGGTAACACTAGGGGATATTTGAGTTTGTTTTTATCCAGATTATAAACTGGAATTGGTATTCAAGATGTTCTCATGTGTTAAATCATTTTCCTATATGGAAAGTACATTGTTAAGTGATTGTTAAATGTTGGCAAATAACACAAATAGTTGGTTGAAATTAGGAAAACACTGTGGTCTAACTCGCGTCAGTGAACGTATATTTTTATTTAATTTTAGTTACATTTGAAGGAGATTTGTAGCAGATGAAGATTTTTTTGTTGCAGACTATTTCATTTGTTTATTTGCTTTAGACACTCATGTACGTAGGATTTGTTTTCCAAGGTATGGAGTTGAATCCATGGGTTGATCTGTGGTTTTACATTGCAGGTGTGATCATTTTTTATTTTATTTTATAAATTAACCGGGGCATGGTTAAACAAAAATATTAACTGAGCATTTCATGAGTACTTTGTAGTTAATAAAGTTTGTCAGTTGTTTGAAAAGCACCACCAGCAGTCCGCCTTCTCTTATATACAGCTTTAACTGAATGCACTGTTGTTATTTTCCACTTCTTGCAGGCCATAAGGTTTTGATGTTTTTTATTGTTCATTAATTTATTCTTTTTCTTTTCATACTGCTTTCATATTTGGTTTTTTAATAGCATTTTTATAAGTGTAGGATAATTAAAAAATGTGGATATCATAAAGGTGTTGTTACATTTGAGTTGTAGCTTGTGTAGCTTGTGCGCTGAATTGAGAGATATCCTGCTTCCAACAATGGAGAGGTGACTGACCCAAGATACATGAGCGTGCTGCATCAGTGGTATCACCATACACACTATATTATAAACTTAAGTCTCTTGTTTACATTTGAACATTGTCATATAGCATGGAAACAGAAATTATGCTGGATTTTATTGTGTATGATTGTACAAGAAACCCGAAATAGAGATAGAATTATAATACTTTCTGGAGCTAGACTCACTGAGTAAGTTGTAGTCTCTGTCCATGGTGCTGAACATGTTTGATCTCATTTTCCAATATCTATTGAGAAAAAAGGAAAAATTACATGATCTAGTATAATCAATTCACGAAACTTAATTGGAGAAAATAAATAATAGCTGCCAGTGTTTTGCAGAATAAACAACACAGTCCGAAAGACATTGGTTTTCCTTCAAATAAAGCTGTCTTTGAAGGAAATTTTGAGTTTGATAGTTTACTGAGGAGTCCACCACCTCCTCTCCTGATTCCAATTACTCGACTTTGTTTGGTCAGAGATTTGCGGCAGCTACCAAATGATTTACCATTTATCAAATGTGCTACAAAACTTTTGAATTATGTGCAACGAGACGTTTGGCCACCTGGTGTCAGTGCAATGTAAAGTGAGCAATACGTGAGCTTGGAGTCTTTGTAGTTTGGTTCCTCCTCTTGAGAGCATTTTCACTTCCATATTAGCACAACCTGTTCTGTGCTTACAGTTGCCTTCGTGAATACCCTGTCATGGTAGCCAGTTTTTCTTGCTATGTAAGAAAGGATTGCTTTAAAGGTTGAATATTTAGTGCTGGATTCTGTTTTTGAAGACGTATCTATAGCACATGTAATGGATTACTGAGGATTTCGTGTTTAACCATGGAACAAAGAACATACGAGTCTCGAAGGGAGCGAGGATATTTGGTCGGCTTTGTGGTTGCTGTGCTGTTGTGGAGCGTGGCCTCGGCGCAAATACGATATTCAATCTCAGAGGAAGTTAATGAAGGAACTGTGGTTGGAAATATAGCAAAAGATCTGGGATTAGATAAAAACACACTGAAAGAAAGAAGGTATCGAATTGTTTCTACTAATGCGGATCCCCTTTTCCACGTAAATCAGAACGATGGCATCCTGTATGTGAACCGGAAGATTGATAGAGAAGAGGTGTGTGCGCAGAGCAGTACGTGTTTAATTAATCTGAAAACTGTCCTGGAAAACCCGCTGGAAGTACATTATGTTGAAGTTGAGGTGCTGGATATAAATGACCATTCTCCCAGTTTTCCAGAAGAAGAGAAAGCGTTGGAGATTTTCGAGTCTGTGTTGCCCGGAGCACGATTTCAGCTAAAAGCCTCACGGGATCCAGACAGTGGTCATTTCTCCGTGCAGCAATATAAACTTAGCCAAAACGATCACTTCCGTTTGGAAGTTAAGGATAAAGGAGAGGATGGAAAAATACCAGTACTGATTGTTCAAAAATCTTTAGACAGGGAAACTGCAGGAAGTCACTCATTAGTGCTGACTGCGCTGGATGGAGGTAAACCTCCGAAATCTGGTAATATGAATATTGTAGTAAATGTGTTGGATATTAATGATAACGCGCCTGTTTTCACAAAAGATGTTTATTCTGTGATGCTCACTGAGAATACTGCAATAAGTACAACAATCATACAAGTCAATGCAACTGATTTAGATGACGGCCCGAACGGAGATGTAGTTTACTCATTTAGCAACAGTATGAATCAAAATATATTAAACCTGTTTGATATTAATCCATTAACAGGTGACATCACGGTTAAGGGTATAATAGACTATGAGGAGAAGGAAAAATATGAAATTGAAATAGAAGCATCAGATAAAGGTTTCGTTCCTCTAACAACAGAAAAAAGCGTCATTATCAAGATAGTTGACGTTAATGATAATGCCCCTGAGATTGAGGTTACCTCATTTTCAAGTTCAATCCCTGAAGATTCCAGACCTGGAACTACAGTTGCCCTAATCAGTGTAAATGACTTGGACTCTGGACTCAATGGAAAAGTTATTTGTGCTGTAAATGAGGATGTTCCATTTGCTTTATCGCCATCTTTAAAAGACAAAATGTATTCATTAGTAACCAAATCCCCTCTGGACAGAGAGAAACAGTCACAATATGAACTAACAATTACTGCAAAAGATGCTGGTCAACCACCATTATCATCTGAAAAGACAATTAGCGTTGTGGTGTCAGATGTGAATGACAACAGTCCAGAGTTTTTATTGAGTCCATATACTTTCTATGTTACCGAGGGTAACAATCCAGGATCTTCTCTTTTTTCTGTAAACGCTTTTGATCGTGATGAAAACGACAATGCTCTTATATCCTATCATATTCTCAGAGATGGAAGCCAAGAAAATAAATTGGCTTCATTTCTAAATATAAACTCTGAAAATGGAGATATTTTGGCGCTAAAAAGTTTTGACTTTGAAACTCTGAAAACGTTCCAGTTCCATGTTGTTGCCACAGATTCTGGAACTCCGTCACTAAGCAGCAACGTCACAGTGAACGTGTTCATTCTGGATCAGAACGACAACGCTCCAGTCATCCTGTATCCAGTCAGCTCCAACGGTTCTGCTGAAGGTGTGGAGGAGATTCCCCGCAATGTGAACGCAGGACACTTGGTGACTAAAGTCAGAGCCTATGACGCTGATATAGGATATAACGGCTGGTTACTGTTTTCACTGCAGGAAGTTACTGACCACAGTCTCTTTGCTTTGGACCGCTATACAGGACAGATCAGAACACTTCGCTCATTCACAGAGACAGACGAGGCCGAGCATAAACTGGTCATACTGGTGAAAGACAATGGGAACGTTTCACTCTCAGCAACAGCTACTGTGATTGTCAAACTTGTGGAGCCCAAAGAGGCTTTTGCAGCTTCTGATGTTAAAAGTTCAACAAAGGATGAGGAGGGGAATGATGTGACTTTTTATCTGATGATAACTTTGGGCTCAGTTTCAGTACTTTTTCTCGTCAGTATCATCGTGCTGATTACAATGCAGTGCTCTAAATCTACAGACTATACTTCTAAATATCTACAAGAGCCGAATTATGACGGGACACTGTGTCACAGCATCCAGTATAGATCTGGAGACAAACGGTACATGTTAGTTGGACCCAGGATGAGTATAGGATCTACTATAGTGCCGGGCAGCCATGCGAATACATTAGTGCTCCCTGACAGGAGGAGGACATCTGAAGAGGTAAGGCATAGTTAAAGAAGCTCTCCATCCCTAAAGAATTAAAGTCATATTGAAACATTGGGCAAAGAAATCGGGTTTTAACCGAGAAAAAGCTTTTGATGAGTACATTCATATTTCATATTTCAGTTGGTTTTTTTTTACATAATTTGTATTGGTTATGAAAGCTGTGTCTGTGTCTTATGGTCATTGTTTTGTTTTTACAGCACTTACTGTTTACTGTATATGCTTCCATGGGCGAAACAGATTGGAACTCCTATTGTCTTTCTTTTAGTACGGTTTGTCCACCTACCTATTTTTTTTACTCCAGGAATTGTTTTTAAAATACAGGTGTAACTGATGTGCAACTATATATTCTCGGGTGTAACTACATGAGGAGAATCATTCTTCAGACAAACAAAATCCGAGTGACTTCAGATAAATGAGTGGACTCCATCCTCACGTCTTTACTATACGTAAACTTCTGTAAGCCATAGAGACAACGAAATAGGATATTTATTTATTACATTATTAGAATACTTGAAATGGAATCCTATCACCAAATGTCTGTTACCGTAAGTGTTCATTAGTTATACTAAACCAGTGACTTTATTCTTCGGTTTTTTTATGTGAATTAATCACATGAAGCAAATGTATCCCCACGTATTAGGCCGAATATTCTCAACATTTATAAAAAGTTTGTTTAGAAACGAGGCTTAGCGTTGGGAGTGAGAAGATTCCCCACCCCAGTATTTTTGTATACCTTTACAAAATAATAATAATAATAATAATAATACATTTTATTTATAAGCGCTTTTCTAAATACTCAGACACTTTACATAAAAAAACACAAAAGCAGCCAAACAAGATCAAATAGTAAAACATTAAGATAAAATAATCATATTTATAATTAAACACGCACAAACACACGATATACCATTCAGCTAAAGTGCTGCTGGCTTTTGGTTTTCTGCAGCCAGAATTAAGATCGCAAGGTGTCACTGTAATGGAACAAAGCAGCATCACATGTGCTTGTCGTCAGTCCATTTTGGTTCCACCTCTTCATAGCTTCCTCAGTCCGATGTTCACACAGTCGTCCCTGAGCTCACTAATGGATTTGGAAATACTGTTTACTCTCATGTCTTTTGTTCTAATAAGGGAATAACTATTTTCACACATGGGAGTGGTGTATTCGACCATTGCAATGCAGTTTTGTCCTTGTGAATGATTACTGACGACATCGGGTTTAATCATGGAACAAAGAAGATGCGAGACGCGAAGGGCGAGAGGATATTTGGTCGGCTTTGTGGTTGCTGTGCTGTTGTGGAGCGTGGCCTCGGCGCAAATACGATATTCAATCTCAGAGGAAGTTAACGAAGGAACTGTGGTTGGTAATATAGCAAAAGATCTGGGATTAGATAAAAGCACACTGAAAGAAAGAAAGTATCGGATTGTTTCTAGTAATGCGGAGCCCCTTTTCCACCTAAATCAGAACGATGGCATCCTGTATGTGAGCCGGAAGATTGACAGAGAAGAGGTGTGCGCGCAGAGCAGTACGTGTTTAATAAATCTAAAAACAGTGCTAGAAAACCCCCTGGAGGTACACTATGTTGAAGTGGACGTGCTTGATATAAATGACCATTCTCCAAGTTTCCCAGAGGAAGAGAAACGGTTAGAAATTTCTGAGTCTGTGTTGCCCGGAGCACGATTTCAACTGAAACCTTCACGGGATCCAGACAGTGGTCCTTTCTCCGTGCAGAAATATAAAATTAGCAACAACGATCATTTCCGTTTAGAAGTAAGGGATAAAGGAGAGGATGGTAAAATACCAATCTTGGTTTTGCAAAAATCTTTGGATAGGGAGGCAGCGGAAAGTAACTCATTAATACTGACGGCACTTGATGGAGGGAAACCTCCAAAATCTGGCGAAATGAATATTCTGGTGAAAGTTTTGGATGTAAATGATAACACACCTGTTTTCTCGAAGGATGTTTATTCTGTTACGCTCTCTGAAAATGCTCCAGTGGGCACCACTGTCGTCCAAGTAAATGCAACTGATTTGGATGAAGGTCAGAATGGAGAGGTGTATTACTCATTTGGTAACAGTGTGAGTAATAAGTTATTTACTCTTTTTGATATAAACCCATCAACAGGCGAGATAATTGTCAAAGGTCTGATTGACTATGAGCAAAAGGACAAATACGAAATTGAAATTCAAGCATCAGATAAAGGTCTCGCTCCTCTAACTACAGAAAAAAGTGTCATTATCAAGATAGTTGACGTTAATGATAATGCCCCTGAGATTGAGGTTACCTCATTTTCAAGTTCAATCCCTGAAGATTCCAGACCTGGAACTACAGTTGCACTAATCAGTGTGAATGACTTGGACTCTGGACTCAATGGAAAAGTTATTTGCTCAATAGGTGAGGATGTTCCATTTGCTTTATCGCCATCTTTAAAAGACAAAATGTATTCATTAGTAACCAAATCCCCTCTGGACAGAGAGAAACAGTCACAATATGAACTAACAATAACTGCAAAAGATGCTGGTCAACCACCATTATCATCTGAAAAGACAATTAGCGTTGTGGTGGCAGATGTTAATGACAACAGTCCAGAGTTTTTATTGAGTCCATATACTTTCTATGTCACTGAGGGAAATGAGCCAGGAGCCCCTGTGTTTTCTGTGAAAGCTTTTGATCGTGATGAGAACGATAATGCTCTTATATCCTATCATATTCTCAGAGATGGAAGCCAAGAAAATAAATTGGCTTCATTTCTAAATATAAACTCTGAAAATGGAGATATATTGGCGCTAAAAAGTTTTGACTTTGAAACTCTGAAAACGTTCCAGTTCCAAATTGTTGCCACAGATTCTGGTACTCCGTCACTAAGCAGCAACGTCACAGTGAACGTGTTCATTCTGGATCAGAACGACAACGCTCCAGTCATCCTGTATCCAGTCAGCTCCAACGGTTCTGCTGAAGGTGTGGAGGAGATTCCCCGCAATGTGAACGCAGGACACTTGGTGACTAAAGTCAGAGCCTACGACGCTGATATAGGATATAACGGCTGGTTACTGTTTTCACTGCAGGAAGTTACTGACCACAGTCTCTTTGGTTTGGACCGCTATACAGGACAGATCAGAACACTTCGCTCATTCACAGAGACAGACGAGGCCGAGCATAAACTGGTCATACTGGTGAAAGACAATGGGAACGTTTCACTCTCAGCAACAGCTACTGTGATTGTCAAACTTGTGGAGCCCAAAGAGGCTTTTGCAGCTTCTGATGTTAAAAGTTCAACAAAGGATGAGGAGGGGAATGATGTGACTTTTTATCTGATGATAACTTTGGGCTCAGTTTCAGTACTTTTTCTCATCAGTATCATCGTGCTGATTGCAATGCAGTGCTCTAAATCTACTGACTATACTTCTAAATATCTACAAGAGCCGAATTATGACGGGACACTGTGTCACAGCATCCAGTACAGGTCGGGAGACAAACGGTACATGTTAGTTGGACCCAGAATGAGTATAGGATCTACTATAGTGCCAGGCAGCCATGCAAATACTTTAGTGCTCCCTGACAGGAGGAGGACATCTGGAGAGGTAAGCTATTTATTTTAAATACACTGGCTTGTTTCCACTGTTCAGTCAATCGGTTGCTGAATATACCTCATATGTCTCTTTGCTTGGCATCATAATATAGTTTTGTGAAGTGTGGCACTTGACTTGAGTAGTTCTCAGCTGTAATTTGACTAATCCTATCGGTCCTTTTATTCATAGTAGTACCTTTAACAACAGCTGCTAGTATAAGTTGACATCAGTTGTTTTTGCTATTGACTTGTCTCCTCTAATACTGGTGTTTTTCACTATACTCTGAAAATCTTAAGTCAGTATGGACAGTTTGCAAAGTGTTGAACATTGTGCAATTTCAGTTGAACCATAATATGGTTTAAGTTTTCAATTATGAAATATAAAGTCACACATGTGGCTGGGCAGTTATAGCTGGTGTTATTCGCTGTCCATGGTGCTGATACGTTTTTTTTTTCTCATGTCTTGAGATTCCTGTTAATACATGTTACCACTCATTTGTTAAATGCAGTTACCTCATACTTTTTTGTTCATAAATATTTAACGAATGAAATTCAAAGTTATTATATGGAAGCATCAAACATTTTGGGCGGATTTGATGTCTCCATCTTCAGTCAAAAGTAATATAATTTGTTTGGTCACTTGAAGGAATCTCCTCACCTGCCACCCACAATGCATAGGGGCAACGTAAATAAACATAAAACTTTGCCACTCTGCAATAAAAATAGCTGAAGAAACTTTAATTTCCTTGTAGTGAGCACAGAGATCGCATGGTGTCAGTGTGTTAGGAAAATAATGGCCATAGCTCATCGTCACTGGATTTAGGTTCCACCTCTTTTTAGCCCTCTCAGTTCGATACTGGCAGAATCGCTTGTTGGCTTTCTGCTGCCTTTATACACACTACCGTGTTTTTAACATTTTTTAAATAGAACGAACATTTACATACCCAGATATGTTGGATTGATTGCCTACAATTTACCCCGTGAGGAGTCGATAACAGTTTTATTTGTGATAATGGAACAAAGAGGACGCGAGGTAAGGAGGGCGAGAAGACGGTGGATCGGCTTCGTGGTTGCGGTGCTTTTGTGGACTGTAGCCTCAGCCTCAGCGCAATTGAGATATTCCATCTCTGAGGAAGTTAACGAAGGAACTGTGGTCGGGAATATAGCAAAGGATTTGGGATTAGACAAGAGCACGTTGAAAGACAGGAAGTATCGCATTGTTTCTAGTGGTATGGAACCTCTTTTCCATGTAGATCAGAATGATGGCATCCTGTACGTAAGCCGGAAGATTGACAGGGAAGAAGTATGTGAGCGAAGCAGCACCTGTTTGATAAATCTGAAAACAGTGCTAGAGAATCCACTGGAGGTGCACTATGTTGGAGTGGAAGTACTGGATATAAACGATCATTCTCCCAGTTTCCCAGAGA